GGTTTTCATTTTGTCAGAGTACAGCTAAAAGTTACTTCCTTTAAAAAAAATGAAGGTTAGTCCTAGCTGGTTTGGCTCAGTGGATAGAGCGTCGGCCTGGGGACTGAAGGCTCCCAGGTTCGATTCCGGTCAAGGGCATGTACCTTGGTTGCAGGCACATCCCCAGTAGTGGGTGTGCAGAAGGCAGCTGATTGATGCTTCTCTCTCATCGATGTTTCTAACTCTCTATCCCTCTCCCTTCCTCTCTGTAAAAATATCAATAAAATATAATAAAAAAATATATTTGTACCATGCCCTCGCCAGTTTAACTCAGTGGATAGAGCAGCACCTCCGCACACTGAAGGATCCCAGATTCAGTTCCAGTCAAAGGGCACACACCTCAGTTGTAGGTTCGATTCCCAACCCTGATCAGGGCAGGAGGCAACCAATCAATGTTCTCTCGAAAAGAAAAGTCCTGAAACCAAAAAAAAAGTGACAGATTTTTAAAAACTTTTCTTGATAAGCTGTAAACATCCATACAGAAAGAGCACAAATCCTAAGTGAATAGCTAGATGAATCATCACCAAGTAAACACTCTTGTTACCACCAGGTCAAGAAACAGACTATCTCCAGCTTCCCAGAAGCCCTCTTCATTCTTCTTCCTAACCACTTCCACTGCTCCAAAGGAAGCCATTATCCTAATTCGTAATACTTTAGTTTAACTTTGCCTGCTTTTAAACTTTACATAAAATCATATATAATGTATTAAAAATAAAACATTTTCCAAGTGGGAATTTTTTGTATCAGTCAATATCATCATTAAAAATATTTGTAGCCCTAGCCGGTTTGGCTCAATGGATAGAGCGTCAGCCTGCGGACTCAAGGGTCCCAGGATCAGTTCCAGTCAAGGGCATGTACCTTGGTTGCGGGCACATCCCCAGTAGTGGGTGTGCAGAAGGCAGCTGATTGATGCTTCTCTCTCATCGATGTTTCTAACTCTCTATCCCTCTCCCTTCCTCTCTGTAAAAATATCAATAAAATATAATAAAAAAATATATTTGTACCATGCCCTCGCCAGTTTAACTCAGTGGATAGAGCAGCACCTCCGCACACTGAAGGATCCCAGATTCAGTTCCAGTCAAAGGGCACACACCTCAGTTGTAGGTTCGATTCCCAACCCTGGTCAGGGCAGGAGGCAACCAATCAATGTTCTCTCTCATATCGATGTTTCTCTCTCTCTGATTTATTTTAAATACATATTCAGCCCAGCTGGTGTGGCTCAGTGGTATTGACCTATGAACCAAGAGGTCATGGTTTGATTCCTGTGAGCTTAATTCCCAATAGGGGACATGCAGGAGGCAGCCAATCAATGATTCTCATCATCAATTTTTCTATCTCCCTCCTTCTCCCTTTCTGAAATCAATAGAAAATATATTAAATAAATAGACACCTTCAAATTTTTTAGCTTTTATTTAATATAATTTAATTTTTAAATATATGAAAGATTCTAATTATTCTGATTCTAAAAGTTATATAGATAGTTCTTATACTATTAATGAGAACTTAAAGATGAAATTAAATGTGCTACATAGATACTTAATTTCTTTAATATTATCATGTAAATGAATGTATTCTTTTCACAGCTTTGTCTATCACAGTCTCTTCATTGATGGAATCATTTACCTATGTGCCTCAGACAATGCATTGGATATTGTAACACCATCTGCATTTCTTAAAAATGTAAGTAATTAGTTATACTACCTTAAGGACCTTTACCTTTTCTGAAATTATGAGGTCTCTATTTTATAGTTTATGAGTAATAATGTCACTAAACAAAAGCAGATCATTCCTCTGCCTATAAAGCAGAGCCATTACTGACCTCCAGAGATTTCTTACCCTCATCCCTCTTTGTCTCCTGCTCCTACACTTCCCTGACTCTGAAGGAAGATCTGCAAAGACAATCTACTCAGATCTATTAGGATCTGTCACAAAAGAAGCCATCAACAAAATAACAAGAAAGCCCTCACTGCATGGGAGAACACATTTGCCAATGTGACATTTGATAAGGGTTTAATCTCCAAAATTTATAGGAACTCATACAACAAAAGGAAGATAAACAATACAATCAAAAAATGGGCAAAGGACCTAAATAGACACTTCTCAAAAGAGGACATAACAGAAGGCCAAGAGACATGAAAACATGCTCAAAGTCACTAATCATCCAAGAGATGCAAATCAAAACAACG